GTAGCACTTCTTTATGGCTAATCCAATTTTACATCATTACAATGTGCAAGCCTACTTTTTCTTGTTCTAGTCTCTATATTAGCTATTTTTCCTCCAGTAATTCTTATCATTTTATTTTCTATTACTACTACTACTACTACTTACTACTACTACTACTACTACTACTACTACTACTACTACTACTACTACTACTACTACTACTACTACTGCTACTACTACTACTACTAATATATTCTAACCTTTATGGGAGGCTGATTAGAGAGCTGACCTGAGAGTCTGGGAGAGCTCTTTTCAAGTCTACTGTGATACATACTGGCTGAGGATCCTATGAAAGTCTTTTAACTTCTCAGCATTCTATAGCCCACTTTTTACCTAAGACTATTAAGTTGCATTGGTATAGTGAATTTTTCATCTGGAAGTTACCTATATCAATAAAATCCCAGGTCAAGTCCAAAACAGTACACATTTATATAGAGCTTTAAGATTTGTAAAGTGCTTTTTATATGTATCCTAGATCTTTTATCTTCTGTTAATAGATCCATTTTCCTTTTCTTTAATGATCTTGGTTGTTCTCTTTAAAAACTTAATAATTTCTACTTTCATGGGTTATTGTTCTTTTTTATTACTAAGAATTAATTATTTTAAGCTACATATTATAATGATTTTTTCCAAGGAAACTTGTAGACTTTAACAAAAATTTGTGTGAACAATTTTATGCTGATTAGTTATACAGTGTCAAAATGAAATGTGTGTAAATATTCTAGAAATTATATTTTCTGCATAGACATCATGAAAAATGATGCAAAACTCAGAATTTTTTTCACCTCTTAGTTCTGGTATGATAAATAAAATTTGACTTTTCTTCTTGGGATAACCAGATGCAAATAGGTCTTATGGTTATGATTAGGTCAGTCATCTTTTCCTATCTTTATAGGGCAAATCTTGTATTTCCAACTGCTTTGGTTGAAAACTAAACCTTGAGTGTCTGCCATTTTGAAAAAGTTCTAATCCCTTAGGAATGGCTCCTGTTCTTAAATGGCTATTCCAGTTTTATCCAGTTCCTTCATATAGACATAGCCTATGTCTGCTTAGCTTAGGTTGGAAGATTAGAGCTGAGTGCTAGGAACTGAATTTGAGATTTATGTATCAAAAATCCTGCAATATATGCCTAACCACAGTCCTGTAAGAGCAATGACTACTCAGCCTCTAAGGTCCCATACCAAACTGAGAAAATTAAAACAGAATGTTTTTTCATTCACTTTGGCCAAGTCAATACTGCTTTACTGGTTGAAACCAAAGTAGTATAAACATTTCAAATATATAAGCAAAAATTCAGAATTTAGATGATGAAATGGAGTCATAAAATTGGGAGTCTAAGATCATTTGTTCAAACTCCCTTATTTTATAGGCAAGGAAACTTACGTCCAGAGAGATTAGAGGCAGTGCTGGGACTAGAATCTGAATCTTCTTATTCTTCATACGTTATACTATGCTAGTAAAAACAAAACCAAAAAACCCAAAGAATATTTTTAAAGTTCTTTAAATGTTAAGCATTCAGGAATGAAAACACTTAGCACCTCAAAGACATGAAGAATGAGTACTAGTACTATAATCTTGCTTTGAGTTCTTATTCATGGTTTGGATATATACTATGTTTGGTTATGAATAGTTTTGGGGAAAAATTGGCTCTGTTAGCTGGTTGGTTTTGTGTGTGATGTTCTACAAGTAATAGTAGACAATAAAAGAAAACTTTCCCCAAGAGGAAGACAAAAAAAGAAAGAATAAGCAGATAGGTGTGACCTCCAACCAGTGGTGGGATTGAGAATCCAGAGACCAAACAAAGGCATTCAAACTAGAGGTTAGGGAGTCCTTCAAAAACAGTCATGGATTGCTCCAAAGTGCATTGGAAGAGGGGTCTGACCCTATGGCAGCCTCCAGTGACATCGTTTGAGATTAAAGCATGGATGCTGGAAGCTTATGTGATTTTTCTAGTGTAAGGAATTCTCAGTGTGAGTACTGCTTCCAAAAATGCAGATCTCAACCATTCTCTTAGACAGTGAATACGTTATAGATTGTGGCACATAAAGGTTGAGGGACCTGCTCAGAGTTATATAGCTACTAAGTATGAGAGGTGGAATTTATACCCAGGTCTTCTTGATTCCAAACCTACCACTCTATTCATTCATCCTCAATGCTTCTATTTAGTACTGTATTAAAATGGTATTTCATCAGCAAATATTTATTAAGCATCAACTATATATGTGTTTTATATATGCACAGTTGGTGTTTTAACATAGTTATACATGGTTGGTATTGTGTAGTATATATACATATATAATATAAATATCTATATCTCAATATATTTCTATAGCTGTCTCTCTTTGTGGGACACAAAGATAAATGAAATGCGATCCTTGACCTTAACCAGAAAATGACATTCCATTTCCTTTCCATTCTAAAGTCTTGGAATTGCAAGTTTTGCTAATATCTTGCCAAAGTGAAGTTTAAAAATTCAAAAAAAATAGTTATTAACTTTGAGGAGTTTCCTGATAAGTCTGGGTAGTATAAAACTGATCCAATATATTTAGATTCCTGACTCATCCAGCTTGACTCTACAGTTAGCAATAGTTTCTTCATTTTCTTCTGGCTTGTAGACATGAATTCATTTTATATAAGTTAAAAAAACCCCAAATAATAAACAAACAGATAAGAAATAATGAGAACAATAATAATAAGGCATTTTAGATTCAAGGGATGGAAGCAGGAAGTATCATATATCACTCAAGCAGTATGAATGTATCTGTGGGTCTTTGTCATTGTTATACTGTTAATCTAAATATTTTATATGACTTTTTCTGGGACTTTGTTCCAAATAAGGCATGCTGCAGAGTCTTCAACATATGATTTGTCTAGTCCAGTAGTATGTCAAAATCTTACTATGGTGCTTCATGGCAGCACGGAAATGAACCTTGGTTCTTGAAGGCCAATGCCAATTCAGCACAAGTTCCAGGAGGTCCTTCCACACTGGAAAGCCTTTGAATACAGCTCCAGCAATCGGTTATGTAAACTCCTCTCCCCAAAGTGCTAACAGTTTCTTAACTGTCACATCTAATATCCCTTTTCGCCATCCGCATCCTTCTTGACCTCCCTGTGGCCTTTGCCACTTTTGATCTCCAACTTCTTCTCCTTTATTCTCTCTCCTCTCTAGGTTCTTGTGACACACCTTTCTCTTGGTTCTCCTATGGTCTGTTTGATCTCTTTTCAGTCAGCTGTGCTGGATATTCATTTGGGTCACACCTGCTAAATAACCCACCCAGTAGGTGTCCCACTGGATTCCAGTTCTAGACATACTCAAACAGATCCTATCTGACATAAGACACCATGGGGCGTTTTATGCAAGAATGTGTTGCCCTTGACTACGTCAACTTCAATTTTTGACCTTCATTCAAATTCTTCTTTAGTATTGGTTGTTTCGCCTTGGGATTGGACACTTTGATCTGCCCTGCTGTTTTTCCTTACCCTGATTTTTCATGCCTCCTATCCTGACGAGAGCATTTATGATACTGGGACTCCTTCCTCTTTGGCTATTTGTTGCTGTATTCATAATCATAAAATCATGTTTCATCTGGTCACAGATTTTGAGCTAGAAAGGAAATTTTTGTTTCAATAAGTAAAATGATCCATTATTTTCTATTTTCTTTCATAATTATGTCCTGTTGTACAAATTTATTGAAAATGTATGTTCTCTATCCCTTATTTTCTCATCACGGTATCATTTCTTATTGTAAGCAATTTATTATAACATTTCACAGTAAAATGTGATATTCATCATATAACATTTGTATGACAGGCAGTTGAAATAATAAGACATTGAAATTACTCAGTATTATGAAAGAAGAAAAATATCTTTAAAATAATGCCAAGTTTTAGCAGTTACTGATTGCCATCTGCGATTCTATTGCCCACATTTTTTATACCAGCACAATTAATTAATTACTTTATGTTTTGCTAAAATACTTAGTTTTAATTATATAATAGGTGTCAACTTAGCCAAGCAATTTAGTAATGGAGAATATTATTCGGTATAACAGTGATTTCATCAGACTAGGGAACTCTCAGTGTGGAAGCTCACTTTTCCAGTGTTGATAGCAACCTGTTTGTACCTTACAGTTTTAGATGGTTTGTTGGGGAACTGAGAGAGTCACAGCAAAGTGTCAGAAGTAGGTTTTGAACCCACAACTTGACTCCGAGATCCAACCTCAATTGACCACATCATTTGTATCTCTCTATTCATAATAAACTTGGATATTGACTCAGTAATCCAAAATTTTTAGGCAAAGAATCTTTGAAATATTCTAGTGATTCTGTAAAAATCTGGAAACTTGGAGATCATTGAATGAGCTGAAAAATTACCGTAGGTGGTATATTTTTCTGATGTTGGCTTGAACATGTGGAATTTGCTGCTGTCATAACTGTAGCTATATAATGTCAAAACATTCTCTAGATGGGTGAACAATTCAGGAACCACATGGTTCCCTTGCCTACACGATGCAAAACAGATGGTTTTCTTGATCTTCCCCCTAATCTCCCATTTTTGGTTATTTTGGCATCATATGGATAGACTCAGTATTTGTAAAAATAGCCTGAATTCCAAAATCCTATAGATTTCCCCAAAACATGGTCTGACATTTGAGTTAAAGTAGGATTTGGGGTGGATCTTAGTGGACATTCATTTGTGGGGAGAAAGACTTTGAGTGATAGCTAAAGGCCTAAAATTAGAAATTTAAACAGTAGTACTAGAAACAAAGAATTATATATGTTACCATGGTTAGATGTTAAAACAAGTTCTACCATCAGTGGTGGAATTGCAGTGTATAAGAAAACATTTTATCTATTGTGTAATCTAATAATTATAGTTCTTGTTGAATGAAAACGAAAAAGATTAGCATTTGATGTAACAAAGAAAGAGAAAAAAATCTGCGTGTATTTTTGTTTTCAAGGTTCTCTATAAACAGAAACATGATGCTACAAAAGGAATGTCAGACTATTCACATATGAAGGAACCACCTGATATAATGCATGCCATGGAAACCAGTAAACATCAAAGTAATGTAAGAGTGTTTATTTATCATTTGTCTATGACAGACATACAGTCATATTTTGTCTCTGTCCCAACAGCATGTAAGCTGCTGGACAGTCGGTACTATCTAACTTCTGGTTTTTCTTTCCTTAGTGACACATACTAGCTATATGACATGGAGTAAATCACTTGCCCTCTGGGTCCTTTAGGCCAGAGATGTCAAACTACAATAGAGATGGGGGCCACTGATTTATACATAAGAATCATTTCTGTCTGCCCAGACTTAGTTTTAAAATGTAATGTTATCTGTGGATTTTTTTGTAGTTTTATTTATTTTGTTAAATATTTCCCAGTTACATTTTAATGGTTCAGGGACACTAGGGAATGTTGCCAACAGGCTGAATGTTTGATATCTCTGCTCTAGCCAACTATCTAATGTGTAAGTTATAACGTATAAGAGAACATGTCAATCTGTGCTGGTGGAGGGAGCTTTATCCTCGGGGATGTCCCTCTGCCAATGAAATCTCACGTCCATGCCCTATGCCTATTTCAAGGGATACCTTTGCCATAGGAGGCCCTTCATAAATGCTTACTAAATAGAATTGCATCGATTCGGCAATTAAAATGCCATATTTCCTTTTTTTTTTTCTCCTAGGAATATTTTGGTACATATTTAAATATCACAACAAGGCCAGTTCACCTTTTCTAGAGCAGGGCTAGGAGTGTGCTGCGTGCGCCCCCCCCCCACCCCGTTCTTCTTTGGAGAGTTATTCTCTCTAGCTGGGACAATAAGCATGAACTGTAACTATGAACCGTAACTACACTTCCAAGTTTAGAATGACCTCTACTGAAGATTATTTTTTTATAACTTAATTTCCCACCATGTAGAACTCTGACTTCAGAGTCACACACCTTGGCAGAGGTAATCTGTAACAGGTATATACCTTGAAAGTAGCTGATTAGCAATATTAAATTGGTGTAAGTCAAGGATAAAATAAGGGTCTAGTGAGATTTTACTTTAAATGACTGTGTTAGAAAATCAAAGTTATTTTCCAATGATGGGTTACAATTGATGAAAAGAAACTATGTGTAATAATTATGACAGATCACAGGGTAGTTTCTAGGGGCATGGTTTATAATGAATTTCCAACCTTAGGTGCTATGATCTAACTGCTTTAAAAAAACAAAACAAAACAAAAGACAAAAAAAAATCTTCAAAATTACCGAAGGGAATAAATTTAAAAATATAAAATAAGATTTTAGAAAATGAGCACCAAAGTTGGTCGTCAAACTGTAATTTAGTTTTGTGATATGCTGTCCTACAGTTTATAAAGAAGGGGAAAAAATGAAAGAGACAGATTTGTTTAAAAACAAAACAAACTTGGTGGGGGCAGCTAGGTAGCGCAGTGGTTAGAGCTCCGGCCTTGGAGTCAGGAGGACATGAGTTCAAACCCGGCCTCAGACACTTGACACTTATTAGCTGTGTGACCTTGGGCAAGTCACTTAACCCCAATTGCCTCACCAAAAAGCAAAAAAAAAAATTAAATTAAAACCCCCCCAAAATAAAATAAGACAAAAAAACCTCCTAGAGTTTTTAAATGTAACTAGATTTTATAAACAAGGACATAAGAGGTAATAGTTTAGATATAGTGGGTAGACTTGCTAAATGAACTCTAAAGGATAGGATTTAGGGAAATAGAGATATAAACATTCATTTTATAGGACTTGAGTATTATTATTTTTGAATCTTCCTTTTTAAAGGTATACTGTTCAAATACCCAAGAGACTGAGGGAATCTGAGTAGAAAGCTCTTTTTATCCGCCATTCAATACTGTATACCTGAGGGAGGCAAGATGTGTGTTTACCTAGACTTCTCTGCCAACGCAGTCCAACCTTTACATGTGGAGTTGGTACATATAACAGGATTAGAAAGTATTTAACATTATTTGCTGAGTTTTTGCAGCAAGACTGATACTTGTAGTCTGTCATGTGAAATATGACATTCTGTTAGAGTCATGACAATGTAAAATAATACATTTATCTTTATGAAATTTTCATGTAGGCCTTCAAAGACACGAAAAAAAATTTGTCCCATTGGTCCATGGAGATAGACATATATGGAAGGCAAACTGTTTATCATATTACTTTCTAGACCAGAAGAATTCATTTTACCTTAATACTTAAATAATTATTCTTCCTCAGAAAAAGGTGACATTTATTTTTGATTATAAGGAATTTACTTTGAAGAATTACCAAATAGTGGAAAACAAATCGTTTGTTATTAACCAAGATTGCTAAATTACTTAATTCCATTAACTATAAATCTGAAGTACTGATTAATTTAAAGCAGTGAAACAAAGATGAGCAAATTAAACAGATGATTCTCTTGTCTTCAGATTGTCATGCCAGAGCTAGACCAGCACTTAGTATCTGTGGTAATGGAGAGAGTGAGAACCATGGAGAATGGAAATAGATAATCCCCAAATCTCATTTTAGCTCTTAGTTGCAACATCCTTTCCAACCCCACCTTTTACTAAATCTCTTAACAATGAGGGGAGGGATAACTTTCAGGGATGTTTCCAAGATGTCAGAGTAGAGAAAGCGCTCAGCTGAGCTTTCCAAAAAACTTTAAGAAGGCTCCTCAAATTGAATTCTAGAGTGGCAGAACCAACAAAAGGTCAGAGTGAGACATTTCTTCCAGTGCAAAACGGTTTAGGAGGTCAGAAAGAGGAGGCTGAATTGGAGCCTATGTGGCTGAAACTCTAATGGTGAGACCAGGTGGTAGTGACCGAAGCAGTAGCAACTTTGGGAGCTTTCAAGGCAGAGACAGTAAGGAGAACTGGCAACTGGTCAGACAATTACAGGGTAATCCAATGCAAGCCCTGGAGATAGGACCAGATACTACCAAGTCCATTACCTATAATGATGTCTGGGTCATAGCTCAAGTGCAAGAGAAGCACTTTTGGTCAAGAGGGAGAAGAAGGGTATTATCTCTTTTGGTCACAAAGGATCAGAGACACTGAGGAATGGTATTTTTTTTCTGGCCTCAAGGGATCAGGGACCCTGAGGAGAACAGTATATTTTTCGATCTAAAGGGAGCAGAGGCCCTTTTTTTGAGTAGGGACCAGAGTATAGACCAGGCGAACAGCCACCACACCTCTCCCCAGATCACACTACCATGGAAGCACCAAAAAAATTCCAGCCCCCCAGAACTAGCTCTGAAAACAGCAGTGCAAAAAAGTCTGAAGCCTGAGACACTGCCCCTGCCCATCTCCATTGCAGGGAACAGAGCCCAACTTTAACATAAAGTTCTAAATCAAGAAATAAGGTGGGAATATGAGAAAACAACAATAAAAAAGGAACCTGATCATAAAAGTTACTGTGGTGACAGGGAAAATCATGACACAAACTCAGAAGAGGACCACAAAGTCAAAAAGGGGAAAAATGTGAATTAAACACAAGCTCAACAGGAATTACTGGAGGAGCTAAAAATGATTTTCAAAATCCAATAGTGTTGTTAGAGAAAAATTAGGTAAAAAAATGAAAACAAAGAAAGAAAATTATGAAAATATTAACAACTTGGTAAAAGAGGCACAAAAGTACTCAAGAAAATAACGCCTTGAAAACAGAATTGGCTAAATGGAAAAAGAGGTACCAAAACTCACTGATGAAAAGAATATCTTAAACATTATAACGGGCAAGTGAAAGCTAAGGACTCTGTGAGACATCAATAAAAAAAAATATCAAAGCTTGCAGAATAGAAGAAAATGTGCAGTATCTCATAAAAAAAAACACAACTCACCTGGAAATTGAGGAAATTGAGGAAAGGCATGAGGAAAGATAATTTAAGAATTATTAACCACCTGAAAATCATGATGAAGGAAAAGAGCCTACACATCATATTCAAGAAATTATCAAGGAAAACTGCCCTGATATCCTAGAACCTAGAAATAGAAAGAATCCACTGATCACCACCGATCCCAAAATGAAAACTACCAGGAATATATAGTCAAACTCCAGAGCTCCCAGGTCAAAGGGAAAAAACTCAAACCTCCAGAAAGAAACCATACAAATACCATGAAGTCATAGTCAGGATCACAAAAGATTTAGCAGTTACCACATTAAAGAAGTTGTAGAGCTAGGTGGTGCAGTGGATGGAGCACCGGCCCTGGATTCAGGAGGACCTGAGTTCAAATCCGGCCTCAGACACATAACACTTACTAGCTGTGTGACCCTGGGGAAGTCACCCATTGACTGGCCAAAAAAAAAAAAAAGAGTTGTGGGCTTGGAATATGATTTTCTGGAGCTGCTATTATGACCAAGAGTAACCTGCCCAGGAAAACAGTATAATAATTCAAGGGAAAAAGGGGATATTTAATAAATTAAAGGGTATTTAAGCATTCTTAATGAAAAGACCAGAGCTGAATAGAAAATTGACTTTCAAAAACAGAACTCAAGAGAAGTGGAAAAAAAAGGTAAATATGAAAGAGAAATCACAACAGACTCAATAGGGTTAAACTGTTTTGCCTTTCTGTATAGGAAGATGATACATGTAACTTTTAAGAATTTTATCATCATTAGAGCAGTTAGAAGGATTCTATGTAGAATGAAGGTGCAGGAGTAAGTTGATTATGTTGGGATGGTATAAAAAATGAAAGAAAGAAAGAAAGAAGGAAAGAGGGGTGCCCTGGGAGAAGGGGGGAAGCAACAGAGAGTATTGGGAAATTTATTTCACATAGAAGAGGCAAGCATAAAAGGGCTTTTATAGTGGAGGAGAAAATGGTGTGTGTGGTGGTGTGGGCAACACTTGAACCTCATTCACATCTAAATTGGTTCCAAGAAGGAAAATACACACATATACCCATTGGTAATATAAATCTACCTTACCCAACAGGGAAGTAGGAGGGGAAGGGGATAGGAAAAAAAAAAGGAGGGTGATAAGAGAGAGGGAAAATAAAGAAGGCATTTATGAGAAGCAAAACAGATGTTACAGGAGGGACAGAATATAAATATATATATATATATATGTAT